CAATGGTTCATTGAATCATTCATCCGTTGGTTCACTGCTTCATTGATTCATTCACTCATTGATTTATTAACTGATTCATTGACTCATTTATTCCTTAACCCATTGATTCATTGATACATGGATTGGCTGATCCATTGAATCATTGGTTCATTGATTGGCTGATTCACTCATCACTGATTCACTGATTCATTGATTCGTTGTTGCATTGATTCATTGGTTCGTTGGTTCCTTGGTTAATTGATTCATTGTTTCATTGGTTTAGCGATTCCTTGATTTATTGTTTCATGAATTTTCATTGTGATTCATCCTTTCATTGGTTCATTGATCTATCGACCCATTGGTTCATTGATTCATTCAGTCAGTTGTGCTTGCATTCTTCCATGTCATGTCATTAGCATTTCCATCACATTTTGATCATTGGTGGATGCACCTCACAAAAACAACACTTGGTTGCTTCCGCATTTCAAAGACTTTCCTATAGGCCATGCCCTTCGTATTTTCACTATGTTTCACTTGGTTTTCACTTGCTGACAGTTTTTCGAATGCAAATGGCATTGGCATTGGGCAATCCATTCCGCAATGCATTATACGTTAAGTCCGCTTCGGTCCGCCGTGGTGTGCGGATGCCTTTCTGAGACGTGTTTCTGCAGCCGTGCGCTGGGTATAGCCACGTAGCATTAACGAAGAGTTACGACAGCTATGACAGCTGCGAGGAAGGGTTGTAGAAGTCCTGAAGCCTGCCGCAAAGATGGAATTGTAAGCATTTGGGATGTCCCAATCGTACTTAGACTCTGAACCTGGTTTCTTCTGCATCCCCAAACCACACTCGTTCCGTTGGGCGTTAGGGTTGTTTGCATTTGATTGTTTTGTATCCTTTTTATGTTGTTTTTGTTTTTCTATATTCTAGTCATTGACACAGAAGAGGGAGAGTGAAGAAAGTGGCAGTTTGCTCTGCAGTGTTTGCAGGTGTAAACATCTCCCAGAAGTGACAAATGGCCTTTTCCCCGACGTTTTAGGTAATAGTTTTTTTTTCAAATGGACATACATCAGGCACGTCAATGTCACATGAATGTCAGATATCGTTGCCCTTCACATGTCACCATCTTTGGAGCAGCACGTGCACCGGTGGCCATGTTTTGAGCGCGACCGGCGCTGTGTCTTGAAACCGTGAAAGCCGGTCCATCTGGAAACACAACGGAACAGAACCTGTAGAGAAGCAAGATGAAGCAAGCGCGCAAAGACCATCGGCCGTATTCAAACACGTCTTGTCCAGATGGAAATAGAAAAGGATTGTGTTTTCTCCTCTCCACGGCTCACGTTTTTGGAGCCCGGTGTGCGACCTGGATTCTCACTGGGATTCTCAGCATCCTTTGCGGTGAAGTCGGTGAAGAGCATTGAACTGCCAGGTACTCAGGCATCTAGCGATTTCCAGCATGACTTCACATGACGCAAATGCCTCCAATTTGATGCCGTGATGCCGTGATGCATCCGGTGGCATTGTGATGCCACTTTGTAATTTTCTCCCTGTTTCTCCCTGTTTCTCCCTGTTTCTCCCTGTTTCTCCCTGTTTCTTCTCAATTGGTCGGGATAAATCATGATTATTCCTTGCGTTCGATGTCTTGTCGTCGAACTCTTTGAGCAGTTTGTATCTAATGCCAGTACCACCATTTCCAAACCGCAGCAATCCCTATTCTCGACGCATTTGATTCAAACATGTTTGGCTAAAAGCGCCGTGTTTGACGTTTGACTTGTCCAAGGGACCAACATCAATTGGGTTCGGTGAAACAAGACAGGATATGATGGATATGTTACATGATGTTACATGTGTTACTGTTGCAAATTTGCATGTTACTACATGTTACTACGATCTTTTGCAAATTGACGGTCAAAGCGGGTTACAACGTGCCCATGTCCCACTGAATTCTTGCCACGGCCCCAAGGCAACCGCAACTTCGAAAACATGAAGCAACTTCTGAGTAGTTTAGCAACTTTGGGCCGGTTCATTCGACTGCAAGGCATTGAGGCACATGGCACCACACAGGCGCACACCAAGGATCACCAAGGCTCCCAGCAGACTGCATTGCAAAACATTGGACACATTTGGACACATTTGGACACAATGCAAAACGCCAGTCCCATGTGTTTCATGACCTGAGACCCAATCTACTAGTTGGAGATAGGCGATGTCGTGGGCCGTAGCATTGAAGCGATTAGAACATGATGTGCCCGCTGTTTTAGCATTGAAACATGACTGACAGTTTCGGGCTGGGCTAGGATATGCTAGGATACACGTCGACAGTTTTTACATGTGCAGTGGATTATGAACGTAGAAACGGATATGTAAGATATGTTTAGATGTATATTCAAAAGCCGGCCTTGGTTTTCAGTGGCTAGTCAGATCCTTGCCTGCACTTCAAACAATTTCCAACCATGAAGAGAAGCTTTGCTCTTGCCATGCCACCCTAACACGCATCACATGTGTGACTTGTACTTGTACGCTTGTACCTCTCCTTCTGGATACCGTTCCACCACAAAGTTGCAATTCCCTTTAGTAAGTGCAATGCAAGTGTAGCTGGGGTACGATGGTGTGGTCTGGGTGTGGTGAGTCCTTGCAGTCCTTGCATTTGCTTTGCATTTGCTTCGCATTTTGCTTTCCTTGTTGATCCTTCTTGTGGAGCGGCTGGAACGCTGATGGCCCAGTTTTAAGCGGCCATGGAACTATGGATGGGATTGACGGACTTCTGCTTATCAAATTGCGCCAGACGGACTTGTATTTCCTTTCTCTCCATTTCATTTGTTTGCAGTGCACAGCAGACCTGTATGGAACTCTGCTTTACATGTCCTTAGTCCCTGTGCTTCATGAAGTCACAGAGCAAACGGAAAAGAAAAAGAGACAGCGGCGATTCCAGAGAAGTCCCACTGAAGCACGCCAGGGTGTCACTGCAATAGCAGGACGAAGGTGTAGAGAGTAGAGGGGTCTTAAGGGGTCTTACACTGGTCTTTCGGTCTTTCTGCTTTTCCATCTTTTCCACGGGCCATCTGGTGACTTTCGGCAGATCTATGAAAAATATTCAGAACTCAAGTTGTCAAGCGCCTCAATAGGGCCACAACTTGTTCCAAAGCAATGTGATGCCAGGCATGTCAAGCAATGTTTATCGACTAGAACGTATTCTTGAGAAGTTTTGCATGGCACAAACATGCTGTCATGATTTTCCATGTTTTAAATGTGCATTAGCAGATCTTCACAATGCAGCAATGCAGATGTCAGATGATGCTAAGAGATGCAGCCATTTGGGTCCGGCCATGCACCATGCCATGGAAGACCACGATGGAGTTCATGGCCGATCGCAGGAAAGGGAAGCAGGATAAAAGATGTGAAATGAGTGAAAGCATGAAAGAGAATGAGAGATAATGAAAGAAAATAAAAGATCATATGATCATATATTAATATGATTGAAATGATGTGAAACAAGATTTGTAAATCATTATGAGGCAAGACCTTTGGGATGATTCAATGAACCATTAAGAAATCATGGACAGCATGCTGATGTGTGCCTGAAGAGTGTTTTTTGGATGGCCTTTATGCATTTCCAGTCAATGAGTCCAAAGGGGTTGCATTGAAGATCATACCGGGAAACCACACACAGATAGATATATATATATATATATTATTATTATTATGATTATTATTACTATTATATATATATATATTATAATTAAATTATAGTATATTAAATATGTTCATCACATGTCATCACAATATTATTATATATTGTATGATGCAAAACATTGTACAGAAGGAGTTCATATGTTCACATATAATCATATAGTGTTTGTTCTTATGCACTGCACTTTTGGTGAAGTTGTTTTCGATCAAAATCATCCCTGCCGCTTTCTTCGTCACAACAAAGTGTGACTTTTCATCTCATTTCGCTCACTTCCCGGTCTGGTTTCTGATTCAACTGTTCCTTGCTGGCCCTTTGAGAGGCCAACGGCACTGGCATCTCAAGTTGAGCTCTAAGTTTTCGAAGGGAACGTAGCAGAGCCTTGCAGCAAATGCAGCAGCGAACGGTCAAGAGAAGTAAGAGAAGCATAGCGAGTCGAGGTGAAGGAGGTGAAGACCATGTGGGAGCGCACAACATCCGGTTATCGAAGGTTGCTGGCCACAGCCACGTATTGAACTCAATTCCTCGCAATTTGTGAAGAGTCTTGTAGAACAACAAGTAGAACAGTCACGCGTATGACACTGATATGATGATATGACACTGACACAGTCGTAGAAGGCACCTTAGCAGCAACTCTAACGCACAACTCGCACATGCAAATGTGTGGAAATCTGTGTTTTACAAATGTGTTTTACAAATCTGTGGAAATCTGTGTGCGAAATGATTTCAGCAATGTCAGCAATGTTCTCACGTGATGTCCGGGCAAATTTCATTAGGAAACGTCGGACAGTCTGTCGGACATGCAGCTTGGGCCTCTCGGTGAAAGCCAGGCCGGGCTCAGGGCTCTCTGTTCGACAGTGTTCCTTTTCGCCGTGTCCCACACTCTTCCTGTGTCCTCGAAATGTCCAGTGAAGCACACCATGCACCAAAACATGCTGCACTGCACCTTGGACAGAGTTCGTGGACAAACGCCTTTCGTCCCGAGCGCCAAATGCGGGTCTCATTGTCAGATCACATCAGATCACCGACTAGACGAATAGACTTTTCCACAGATACCCATTCCAGTGCCGATCACACGTGTAATGATGTGCAATGATGTGCAATGATGTGCAATGTCACATCACATGTGGACTACAGATTCGCCATTCAGATCCATTCAGATCCATTCAGGCCATCTGACATCAGCAAAGAAATTAACCAATAGCCGTCAATAGCCCGTTGGTTCACGGATGCTCCTGAAATCTCCTGACTGTGTAGATCGGCCCAAACTTCCCCTCGACTCCCACGCTGCACACTGCACACGCACATTTTGTCGGGTTCACAAAGTTGCGTTTGAGGATCGCCGAGAACGCTTGAAGGCTGCACGTTTGCAAAGATCATCCTTCACGAAGGACTGGACTACTGTAGAGTACTGCAGAGTACTGTGGAGTACTGGAGTTGCGGAACTTGGACTTGAACATTGCAGCATAATGCAGCATAGATGTTGTAGATGTTGTAGATGCTTTACTGTGATATCTGTGATGTTCTGGGCCAGTTGTGCACGCCGAATCTGGCCGATATATTACCAGTAGTACCGCACAAGGCGGTGGCGGAAGTTTCAGAATAGGAAACCTATAGGAGACGTTGGTTGTTGTGAATCACGGATGGCAGAGCGAATCCACTGATTGACCGAAAGGTGGGTGGAGTTGTGTTTGCTGGAATGGTTGCAATGGTTGCAGTGGTCACCTCACCCACAACTGCTGGATGTAGTGTGATGTACTGCAACTGTAGTTGTAGTTGCAGCGTAGTGGAGTTGTAGTTGTGGTGTAATGTAATTAGTGTAGTGTAGTTGCAGTCATATAGTTGTAGCTGTAGTTGTTTTGTAGTTGTAGTTGATGTGTAGTTGTAGTTGTAGTTGTTGTAGTTGTAGTTGTTGTAGTTGTAGCTGTAGTTGTTGTGTAGTGTAGTTGTAGTTGTTGTTGTTGTTGTTGTAGTTGTTGTTGTTGCTGTTGTTGTAGCTGTAGTTGTTGTAGTTGTAGTTCTAGTTGTAGTTGTAGTAGTTGTGTAGTTGTAGTTGTAGTTGTAGATTGTAGTTGTAGTAGTAGTAGTTGTTGTTGTTGTTGGTTGTTGTTGTTGTTGTTGCTGTTGCTGTTGTTGTTGTTGTAGTTGTTGTAGTTGTAGCTGTAGTTGTTGTAGTTGTAGTCCTAGTTGTAGTTGTTGTGTAGTTGTAGTTGTAGTTGTTGTAGTTGTAGTTGTAGTTGTTGTGGTTGGTGTTGGTGTTGGTGTTGTTGTTGTTGTTGTTGCTGTTGCTGTTGTCGTCGAAGTTAGGGTAGTTAAGTTAGTGAAGTTAGTTAAGTTAGTCAAGTTAGTTAAGTTAATCACTATCTATTTTTTCGACATCTTAATGTCAAAAAAGGCTCAAAACCATCAGTTTTTTACACTTTTGACTTCGAAATGTGCTTCGCGCCACAACAGCGTGCACTTTTTCAACATCCGAACCTCCAAAAGTGGCGCGAACATGTGGTGTTTTCTACATGTTGACTTCGAAATGTGCTTCGCGCCACAACGGCGTGCACTTTTTCGACATCGCAACTTCCAAAAGTGGTCCGAGAATGGTGTGTTTTGTACATTTTGACTTGGAAATGTGCTTCGCGCCACAACGGCGTGCACTTTTTCGACATCTCAACTTCCAAAAGTGGTCCGCTCCTCTAGTGTTTTGTCCATTTTGACTTGGAAATGTGCTTCGCGCCACAACGGCGTGCAATTTTTCATCGCTCCTGTGGCCAGCTGGGTCCGCACCCGCCGCTTTAGCGAGCCTACTTTTCGACCCTCCGGAGCCACAAATCATTGGAAAAACACAGTGTTTCGCGACGTTCCTACCTTTTCGCGCACCTGCATCTTCTTTCTTCTGATCTTTTCTCTTCTGACTCTTCTCACCTCTGCTTTTCAACTGTCCATATTGTCGGAGGTTTCACTTCTAAACTTCCTTCGATGATTCCATCTGATTCCTAGGAAGCCATCTCTTTGATTCGAAGAGGCCGGGGTCAAAGTGCAATGTGCCATGTAAACGATAGACACCAACCGACTACTGGCATTTGGCAGCTCGAGCAGAAATGGGCAAAATGGGCAAAATGGGCAGCTGGCCCCAGGTTCACAAAGAAGCGACGTGCATGACGCCAGCCAAGTGGACAGGCGGGCAGGAAGACGGGAGGGCGACATAATTTGCTTCAGGAAAGCGCTATGCTGGCTTAGTCTGCTCAGTGCTGTTCTGTCAGGGTCACATCTCCTTCAAATTTGAAAATGTTTTGCACAAGTTTAAACAGTTTGCTCATAGTTCTTTTCCTCCAATTATTTTGCACTTGAAGCACTCTGCAACTTGTGCAACTTGTTCGTAGCGTTCACACGCTGCAACTTTGACCATCCTGAGGCCTGTGAAAACCGTGAAGACAGTGAAGATGGGTGTGCGACTGGACTCTCCCAGTGGGCATCGCCACATTGATGCGGAAATTTACGAGCAGATGTGGCTTGGCAAATCCATGGGCAGAGGAAAGTTTTGGAAAGGGTCGAAGAACAAGACGATGTAGAACGGCAGAGTTTCAAGATGTTTCAAGCCATTCAAATCAGTTTCTCAATGAATTTTCTCAACAATCCAATATAGTCATATCATGTTGGTATCATGTCATATCATTTGACAATGACAGTGGCATCCAGTGACAGCAGTTCACCTGGATGATCGTTCCGACATCGGCAGGCAAGGGCTTGAGGATGTGAAGAGAAGGCGACCATCTCCGGGCCATCTCCCAGGTTGTCAGGTTGTCATTTTTCTGCAAGGAGGGCCTAAGGAGGGCTATTTATTTTTGGTATTTTTTTGTTGCGGCAGGTTTTGGAATTATTTTTGGGTTCCTGGTTCTATGCTTTCCTGCTTCTCTGCTTTACCTGCTTCTCTGCTCTTGTGCTTTTGTGCTTTTCTGCTTTTGTGCTTCTGTGCCTTTCTACTTCTACTATTCTACTTTTTCTTTTCTTCAGGCATGTGTTTTTGTTGCTCTACTTCCTGCTCCTCTGCTTCTCTGCTTCCTGTCTATACTGCCTCTTTGTTTTTCATTTCTTTTGCTTTACTCTCTCCTGTTTGTAAACACCCTAGGTGAAACCCAAAGAAACCTTAAAGAAATCCTGACAAGAAACCCTACATGAAACCCTACATGAACCCTAAAGAAACCCTAAACGAAACTCTAAAGAAACCCTAAACCTAAAGAAACCCTACATGAAACCTGAAATGAACCCCTAAAGAAACCCTAAATGAAACCCTACATGAAACCCTACAGAAACCCTAAAGAAACCCTGAATGAAACCCTAAATGAAACCCTAAATGAAACCTAAAGAAACCCTAAATGAAACCCTAAAAAACCTTAATTGAAACCTTAAATGAAACCCTAAAGGAACCCTAAATGAAACTCTAAAGAAACTCTACTGTAAATGAAACTCTACATGAAACCCTCAAGAAACCCACATGAATGTTTGAAAATCCTGATAAGAAACCCTACATGAAACCCTCAAGAAACCCTAAATGAAACTCTAAGAAACCTTAAATGAACCCCTAAATGAAACCCTAAAGAAACCCTAAACGAAACTCTAAAGAAACCCACATGAACATGTGAAGTAACAAAATTTAGCAAGTACCATGCAAATGAGAGGTTGAAGTGCCAAAACGTTGCAAATACCATGCAAAATGGAAGGCGGACATTGCCAAATGCAGCAAATACCATGCAAAATGCAAAGTGACCATGCCAAAATGTAGCAAATACCATGCAAAATGACAGATTCTAGTTTCTAGTTCCAAACTGTTGCAAATACAAGGCAGATGGTACCAGGAAAGAAAGCCAACAAAAAATCCAAAACCTGAGCCAAAATAAGAAACAAAAACTATTCTGCACCCTTTCTGCAACTTCCGTTGACCATAGTCACTTCTGGTCACTTCAGCTCACTTCCTCTCTCAACAACTTCCATGTTCGTTCCGTTCGTTCAATGTTCGCTGTCGCTTCCTACAGAGCCATTGGACGATCTTTAGCCATCACGGTCAATTTCAGACAGACATAAGACATCGTAAAACCAGGCTGTCACTTGGAAGTCCTTTGCATGTTGACATGTTGAAACATAGGCTTACTTGGCTGAGAAGTATCCGGAAAACATATGTTTCTGTTCTGAAATTTGAAAGACTGAAGCATCATAACTATTCCTAACTTGTTGCTGTGAGAGGCAGTTGAAACTGGCTGCTTCTCAGCTCTTCCGAGACTTGGCATTGCGGGCAAACCATCGACTTGCAGAGCAGGACACCACAAAAGGGAATGCAGGTCTACCATCTACCTTTTGTCATTTTGTTGCTGCCTCTGTTCTTGTCTTTGTTACTGCCTGTGTTGCTGCCTTTGTTGCCCTTTGTATCCCTTTTTCTTTGGCGTGTGTTCCCGTTCTTGCCGCTGGAGCAGGCAGGTCGGATAAAGACATATAAAGACTATTTGGCTAATTGTTGTGGTTTTGTACATGATTCATTCTTGCTCGCGAGATGTCATGTTCTGTGATTGTCTGTCAGGACTAACATTCGGATTTGCGATACAAGTTCTGACGTTTGATTTTTGTGTTTACGGCATACAAGTATGGCATAGTGGCATAGTGTGTGATATAGTTTATATAAAAGTTTATGTATGCTGATGTTTGTTCAGCCACTTCTTGTGGCCGTGCAGGAGCTCCTGCGCCGGAAGTGGGGTGCAAGAAGCATCGAGCAACAGCTCCTACGCCAAGCCATCAGGGTGATGAAGAAGAGGAGATGTGCAGCCGAGGAGACTACAGTGACTACAGTGACTACAGTGACTACAGATGACAGCGTACGACCCTGTGGTGTGAGATGGTGTGAGATATGAGATGATGCTTTCTTCGAATATGGCCGCAATGGGACCGTTGAGAGGGCCCCGATTGCTCCAGGATTCTTCGGACAGCATCCTTCGGAGGCACCACACCGCCTTAAACGACATCCTTCGATAGCCTCAAGCCATGCAAGCCATGCCTCGCCTCAACGTCTTTTTGGTCTCTCGAAACGATTGTGACGACTTGAGGAATTGCAATCCACGCCACACCATGCCACACCATGCCAAGCTTCGCCATGCCTGCTGAGTCTAGCAATTCCTCAGGCTGCTTGCCGCAGCAACGTGTTGGACATGAAGCAGTTGGTTTACCGAACTGAGTCGCTGGCAGGTGCTCTGACCTCCTGAGTAGCTGGCTGAGCAAAGCTGAAGCCAGAGAATGTTGTGCTTGTCTGAGACGGGGAGGCGGACCTTGGAGCCAAAATGAGTCAAGTAACTTGTCAGACTCCGAGATTCCGAATTTCGTAAATCGGCTTGATTCAGCTAATTTAACCAGCTCTTTCCAAGGTGAAGAAATGGCCAAAGATGTTGCAATCTACCAGCAGGAGATTCTGTGTTTGCACAAGCTTTTACCAGAATCTCCAGCTTCACCTCCTGAGAGACTCTAGGCGGATCTTCCACTGGCAAAGCACTTTCCAGCAGGTCAGAGTTTTTCATGAAGTCATTGAGTCGTGGAGTCTACAAGTCCGAAATTATTTGATGATAATAGTATGTGATTTGAAGTTTTGGATAACATATAATGACTTGACTTGAAAAGTGCGACTGTGATATGGTGTCCGGTTCTAAGAAGTTCTGCCTCTGAAATGTCATGGGCAACGTCTTGGTGTTAAGGAGTGGTCGGAGGAGATGCAACAGCACCAGGGCCTCCAGCATTGCAAACAGCGTTGTGGACAAGAAATGTGGTGAACTTCACTTGTGGACGACAAACATGTCTTAAACTGTTCATGCACGTGGCTTGACTTGTGGCATTGTGTGGCACTGCGCTTCGTAATGAAGCCCACTCAAAAATAAACCATAAACTAAACTGAAAAGACTTTTGCTTGCTGAGTTCTTGGTTTCAGGAAAGGGCTGCAACTGGAGATTGGCAGACGGCACTGCGAGCGGCTTCACGACAGTGATTTGTTGCTCAGCTGCTTTTCAGCAAACGATATAAAGCAAAAAATCACAGTATGCGAAGCTTTGGAAATGCGTGGCACGAACATTGTCTCTGGCCCATGGCGGGCAGGATCCTCATTTCAGAAGGCTAGAAACACGTTGCTCCGGGAATATTCATGCATTTCATGCATGCTTCCAGTCAAGACACGTCCATTTACTGTATTTGTTTGGATTTCTCGCCCTTTCCTTAGGCAATTTTTGACTATGAGTTGACGTATTGCTTGTGGATGTTGTTTGCAACCTGCGGAATCAGTGCATTATAGCTATCTCATAAAACTTGATTGTTTTTGACATGAAGAACCGGACCCATAACGGAAAAGACCCGATTACGATCGGATTAGCATTTGGGCAGTTTGAGTGCTACCCCTTTGAACAGTGTACGGTGTTTGTTTGTTTCCATCTCAAGCATAGTAATAGAATCGACTCGTTTGGGTTGCAAGATCAGAACAGGGGTCTGCAGTTGTTGATGATTGTCTTATTGATGAAAAGTTCATTGCAGAAAAACAAGATATCATTATTGAGTACCACCTCGGCAAGACAGGAAAAACTTGGGAAATTGGATATCTTTGCCATCATTTAGGGCCTTTGCTCTAATTCGTGGTACGATCTTACAACGTGCATGATACTACCTAAGATCGTATCTAGTTACGTCTACTGGTAGGATCTGGTGGTTTCGGTGTGTTGTTGCCTCGCAACTGCGGGCACTAGGCCAGAGGTTTGCCGTGAGCAGGAGCCATTTTGGATGAAGGAGACAAGATTGAAAGAAGTATAAGAAGTCAAGACTGTCAAGATATGTCAAGATATGTCAAGATATGTCAAGGTTCAATAAATTTCAGTTTTAAATGGTCGCCAGCAGTGCCAGGGGCTGTGCCCCAATACTGACATAGCGTGATCAATCCCTCCCGCATTCCAGTTCAAAGTGGGTTCGCATGTTTCCCTTCGATGTTGTTTCCGCATGTTTGGGGCCCTTGTTGTGGCAAAATTCGGGGTTCACTGTTTCCTTCGCTGATATTTGCAGCCATGATGTTCTGGAGCTCACCTGCGTTATGGTTGGTTTTTGTCCATGCCTGCTTTCATCTCTGAGCATCCTGGTTGGAATTGTTTGTGGTGCTGGGGTTTGATGAGGAAATTGATAATTTCCCCACATCTTATTGTGTGGGGTTCTAACTTTTTGTTCGACATCCGCCTCCTCCGTCCGCCCGCCGTCGTCTCCCGTCTCTACCAACTTGTCTCTATCAACTTTCTCTCTATCAACTTGTGTCTATAAACTTGTCTCTATCAACGTGTCTCTATCAACTTTCTCTCTATCAACTTGTCTCTATCAACTTGTCTCTATCAACTTGTCTCTATCAACTTGTCTCTATCAACTTGTCTCTATCAACTTTCTCTCTATCAACTTGTGTCTATAAACTTGTCTCTATCAACGTGTCTCTATCAACTTGTCTCTATCAACTTGTCTTTATCAACTTGTCTCTATCAACTTGTCTCTAACAACTTGTCCCTATCAACTTGTACCTATCAACTTGTGTCTATCAACTTGTCTCTATCAACTTGTCTCTATCAACTTGTCTCTATCAACTTGTCTCTATCAACTTTCTCTCTATCAACTTGTCTCTATGAACTTGTCTCTATGAACTTGTCTCTATCAACTTTCTCTCTATCAACTTGTCTCTATCAACTTGTCTCTATCAACTTGTCTCTATCAACTTGTCTCTATCAACTTGTCTCTATCAACTTGTCTCTATCAACTTGTCTCTATGAACTTGTCTCTATCTACTTTCTCTCTATCAACTTGTCTCTATGAACTTGTCTCTATCAACTTGTCTCTATCAACTTGTCTCTATCAACTTGTCTCTATCAACTTTCTCTCTATCAACTTGTCTCTTTCAACTTGTCTCTATCAACTTTCTCTCTATCAACTTGTCTCTATCAACTTTCTCTCCATCAACTTGTCTCTATCAACATGTCTTTATCAACTTGTCTCTATCAACTTGTCTCTATCAACTTGTCTCTATCAACTTGTCTCTATCAACTTGTCTCTATTGTCTCTCTGTCAACTTGTCTCTATCAACTTGTCTCTGTCAACTTGTCTCTATCAACTTGTCTCTATCAACTTGTCTCTATAAACTTGTTGTCTCTATCAATCAACTTGTCTCTATCAACTTGCCTCTTATCAACTTGTCTCTATCAGCTCTATCAACATGTCTCTATCAACTTGTCTCTTATCAAGCTTGTCTCTATCAACTGTCTCTATCAACTTGTCTCTATAACTTGTCTCTATGTCTCTATTAACTTACTCTATCATTCTCTATCAACTTGTCTCTATCAACTTGTCTCAATCCTGTCTCTATCAACTTGTGTCTCTATCAACTATATCAACTTGTCTCTATCAACTTGTCTCTCAACTTGTCTCTATCAACTTGTCTCTATCAACTTTCTCTCTATCAACTTTCAACTTGTCTCTATCAACTTGTCTCTATCAACTTGTCTCTATGAACTTGTCTCTATCAACTTGCCTCTATCAACTTATCAACTTGTCTCTATCAACTCTATCAACTTGTCTCTATCAACTTGTCTCTATGAACTTGTCTCTATCAACTTCTCTCTATCAACTTGTCTCTATCAACTTGTCTCTATCAACTTGTCTCTATCAACTTGTCTCTATCAACTTTCTCTCTATCAACTTGTCTCTATGAACTTGTCTCTATGAACTTGTCTCTATCAACTTTCTCTCTATCAACTTGTCTCTATCAACTTGTCTCTATCAACTTGTCTCTATCAACTTGTCTCTATGAACTTGTCTCTATCAACTTGTCTCTATCAACTTGTCTCTATCAACTTGTTTCTATATCAACTTGTCTCTATCAACTTGTCTCTATCAACTTGTACCTATCAACTTGTCTCTAACAACTTGTCCCTATCAACTTGTACCTATCAACTTGTGTCTATCAACTTGTCTCTATCAACTTGTCTCTATCAACTTGTCTCTATCAACTTGTCTCTATCAACTTTCTCTCTATCAACTTGTCTCTATGAACTTGTCTCTATGAACTTGTCTCTATCAACTTTCTCTCTATCAACTTGTCTCTATCAACTTGTCTCTATCAACTTGTCTCTATCAAATTGTCTCTATCAACTTGTCTCTGTCAACGTTCTCTCTAGCAACTCGTCTCTATTAACTTGTCTCTATCAACTTGCCTCTATCAACTTGTCTCTATCAACTTGTCTCTATGAACTTCTCTCTATCAACTTGTCTCTATCAACTTGTCTCTATCAACTTTCTCTCTATCAACTTGTCTCTATGAACTTGTCTCTGTCAACTTGTCTCTATCAACTTTCTCTCTATCAACCAACTTGTCTCTATCAACTTGCCTCTATCAACTTGTCTCTATCAACATGTCTTTATCAACTTGTCTCTATCAACTTGTCTCTATCAACTTGTCTCTATCAACTTGTCTCTATCAACTTGTCTCTATCAACTTGTCTCTATCAACTTGTCTCTATCAACTGGTCTCTATCAACTTGGTCTCTATCAACTTGTCTCTTGATTGCTCTTGACTTGTCTCTATCAACTTTCTCTCTATCAACTTGTCTCTATCAACTTGTCTCTATAAACTTGTCTCTATCAACTTGTCTCTATCAACTTGTCTCTATCAATTGTCTCTATCAACTATTGTCTCTATCAACTTGTCTCTATCAACTTGTCTCTATGAACTTCTCTCTATCAACTTGTCTCTATCAACTTGTCTCTATCAACTTGTCTCTATCAACTTTCTCTCTATCAACTTGTCTCTATGAACTTGTCTCTATCAACTTGTCTCTATCAACTTTCTCTCTATCAACTTGTCTTTTTCAACTTGTCTCTATCAACTTGTCTTTATCAACTTTCTCTCTATCAACTTGTCTCTATCAACTTGTCTCTACAACTTGTCTCTATCAACTTTCTCTCTATCAACTTGTCTCTATCAACTTGTCTCTTGTCTCTATCAACTTGTCTCTATCAACTTGTCTCTATCAACTTTCTCTCTATCAACTTGTCTCTATCAACTTGTCTCTATGAACTTGTCTCTATCAACTTGTCTCTATCAACTTGTCTCTATCAACTTGTCTCTATCAACTTGTCTCTATCAACTTGTCTCTATCAACTTGTCTCTATCAACTTGTCTCTATCTTGTCTCTATGGCAACTTGTCTCTATCAACTTTCTCTCTATCAACTTGTCTCTATCAACTTGTCTCTAGCAACTTGTCTCTATCAACTTGTCTCTATCAACTTGTCTCTATCAACTTGTCTCTATCAACTTGTCTCTATCAACTTGTCTCTATCAACTTGTCTCTTTCAACTTTCTCTCTATCAACTTGTCTCTATCAACTTTCTCTCTATCAACTTGTCTCTATCAACTTGTCTCTATCAACTTGTCTCTATGAACTTCTCTCTATCAACTTGTCTCTATCAACTTGTCTCTATCAACTTGTCTCTATCAACTTTTTCTCTATCATCTTTTCTCCATCAACTTGTCTCTATCAACTTGTCTCTATCAACTTTCTCTCTATCAACTTGTCTCTATCAACTTGTCTCTATCAACTTGCCTCTATCAACTTGTCTCTACCAACATGTCTTTATCAACTTGTCTCTATCAACTTGTCTCTATCAACTTGTCTCTATCAACTTGTCTCTATCAACTTGTCTCTATGAACTTCTCTCTATCAACTTGTCTCTATCAAATTGTCTCTATCAACTTGTCTCTGTCAACGTTCTCTCTAGCAACTCGTCTCTATTAACTTGTCTCTATCAACTTGCCTCTA